CACAGCGGCCTCGCCGGGCGGGACACGCCCAGTCCCGGTGGCGGCTGATCCCCGGTGCCTCTCCAGCACCGACACCCCCGGGGGTCCCGGTGCCCCCGCCCGGGGCACGGCCCCCGTCATTAGCACCCAGAAAATGTTGGGTTTCTGCCTGGGAAAACACAGCAGATATGTACATTAAACATCAAATTATAAAATTAACAGATTCCAACTGCGGATGATTTGCATGTGCAAATTAACTTAATTACCACTCTTCCTCCCCGAGCGCCCGCGCGCCGGGAAGGGCCGGCCCCGGCACGGCCGCGGCGGCTGCGGGACCGGGAACGGGCACACGCGAGTGCAAGGGCACACACACGTGTGCAAACACACACAAACACGTGTGCAAACACACACGAGTGTGCACAGCGGTGTGGGGACACGGAGCTCTGCGGTGGCCCCGGATGTGGCTGGGAGAGGGGGACAGGGATGGACACACAGATGGACACACGGATGGATGGACGCAGAGATGGACACACGGATACACGGACACACACACGGATGGACACACAGACACGGATGTACACATGGATGTACACATGGATGTACATGCGGACAGATGGACACACGTGTACATGGGTGAAAACACACGGACGCACGTGTGGGCACAGCCACACACACACAGAGGGAAGGGCACACCCGGGGGCTCTGATCCAGAGATTCTGATCCAGAGCTCCTTATCCAGGGGTTCCAATTCAGGGATTCCAATCCAGGGGTTCCAATCCAGGGCTCCTGATCCAGGGGTTCCAATCCAGGGGTTCCCATCCAGGGGTTCCAATCCAGGGGTTCTGCCGGGGTTGCCGTGCCGGCCTTGGGGCAGCTCCTGCCTCCCTCCCTCCCCGGGGCAGGGGTCCGGGGGCTGCCGGGCCCACCCCAGCGGGGTGGGGGGTCCTGCAGCGCACACGGGGGCACAGCACAGTGTGCACCGCTCCCCAAAACCCCTGCCCGGGCCCCAGCAGGGATCTCGTGCCGTGCCGAGGCGTGCCGGGACAGGCCGGGGGTCGCGGCTGCCGCCCCGCGTGCTCGGCGTGCCCGAGGCCGGGGGGCTCCACGCCCGTGCCCCCCCGGTGCCACCGCAGCCACGCCGGGCCTGCCCTCGCCGAGCCCCTGGGCTGCTCCGCCGCTCCCTTAGAGGTCACCCGAAGCCCCAAATCCCGGAGAAATCCCGGGCTGGATGGGAAGAGCCCTCCCAGGGCCGCTGCTTTCCGAGCTGCCGGCCAAAATTCCTGCGCGGGAGGAGCCCTGGGAGCGCCACGGCCCGGGATGTCCGGGTGCCGGGGGACACTGGGGTGCCGGGGGACATTGGGGTGCCGGGGGACACTGGGGTGCCGGGGGACACTGGGGTGCCAGGGGACATTGGGGCGCCCGGGTGTTGGGGTGCAGTGGGATATTAAGGGGATATGGGACGTTGTGGGAACACTGGGGTGCCAGGGGACACTGGGGTGCCAGGGGACATTGGGGTGCCGGGGGACACTGGGGTGCCAGGGGACATTGGGGTGCCGGGGGACACTGGGGTGCCGGGGGACACTGGGGTGCCAGGGGACATTGGGGCGCCCGGGTGTTGGGGTGCAGTGGGATATTAAGGGGATATGGGACGTTGTGGGATGGCGGGTACCAGGATATTGGGGTGCCACAGGGGGTCGGGGTACCATGGGACGGGGGTCCCGGGATATTGGGGTGCCACGGGGGCCGGGGAGCAGTGCAATATCGGGGTGCCAGGGGGTTTTAGGGTGCCCCCTGATGCTGGGGTGCCCTGGGGTGCCTGTGGGATCTCGGGGTGCCCCAGGGTGCTGCTGATGTTCACCAAAACGCGTCTGGACGGCGCCCGCAGGAGCTGCGGAGGAATTAATTCCGAGGAGGGTTGATTAATTAGCCGTAATGAGCCCGAGCTGGGGGAGCGGAGGGCCGGGGCTGTGTGAACGGGTCAAGGGGCTGGCAGTGTCCCCTCGCTGTCCCCCTGGGGACGGTGATTCAGGCGCTGAGTCACGCTGTGGTTCCTTCCCCTGGGGACCCCCCTTCCGTCAGTGTCCCCCCCCGGGGGTGGCCGTCCCCCCTCCCTGCCCTGGGAACCGGGGGGACCGGAGGGATGCAGGAAGAGGTGAATCACCTTCCGAACCTGCTGCTCGCCAGGGCGGGCCGAGCCTGGCACGGCTGGGCGCCCCTGGCACCCGGGCAGGGCTTTATCCCCATTTGGGGTTTTTCAGGCTAAAACAGCCGGGACAAAGCCACAAAGCCACCGGAGGAATGCCGTGCAAGGCCCCCGCCCAGCGTGTCACCCCCAGACCCCCGGGTGTGCCCCCGGGGCCCGTCCTGGCGTCCCCTGCAGCCCGCGGGGAGCCTGGGGGTGAGGGGAAACTGAGGCAGGGGATGGGGGGCTCACATCGAGGGAGGGGGTTCAGCCTGGGGACGGGGACAGCAACGGGGGGGACTCACCCTCGAGGCTGTGGGGGAATGGGGTCCCAGCCCTGGCCGGGATGGGAATGACGGGAAACTGAGGCAAGGGGCGGAGGGGATCGGCCCCAGCCCCTCTTCGTGCCAGGGGCGGGGGAAACAGAGGCAGAGGATGGGGAGGGGGGCTCGGTCTGAACCCCTCCTCGTGCCAAGGCTGAAACCCGACCAGGAGATGGGGGTGGGGGGGATCAACCCCAGCCCCTCCCGGCGCCCGGGATGGGTGAAACCGATCGAGGGCACGAGGGGGGGCCGGTGCCGCCGCTGCCGGTGCCCGGGAGCGCGGGGGGAGCGCTGCCCCTTTTCGGGGGGGGGGGCCGAGGGAGGGGGGGCCGGGTCCCC